CCTACAAAGGAGTAGACATTTCCCACCAAACTAATTCAGTCCTTTGGCGAGTTACAAGCATGGTGGTTTACTATACCTTTAATCATTAATGGAAATTTTAGTTGCCCATTCCTAAAGTCATGCAGCCACTGAGGTAATTTGCACACTGTGATGTTGTTACTAGTCCAGCTCCATACACTGAGCTCCATGCACTCCAGTGAAAGTAGGCCTCCAATTTACACACTTATATTCATAATATAGTTTTATTTATACAGAAAAAGCAGTAACAATCTGGTAGCTAATAATAGTAACCTAATATCTACTTCTAATGCAATTCAATTGCATGCTTGTGTTAAACCATTTTCCTCAAGCATATGGTGCATCACAACTCCCATCGGCACACCCTCTTATCATTAAAAGCAACCATATTTTCATGTATGACATATATATACATACACCTATGATTTATGTTCCATTTTCCTTCTCTCTTCTATTCTGAGTTGCTGATCCTGAAACAGCCGGTTTTCTCCTACCTGGTGCTAAAATACTTACATGCACTCCCTGACCCTCCCGCACTAGGTCCTTATTTGCTTCTCTGGGAGAAATAGTTGAGTTACCCCATGTTTAAAAAAAAAAAAAAAAAAACCCTCATTGGTTCAGGGAAGAGCAACTGAGGTGCTCTCTGAATAGGTCTTTTTTCCATTCTAGATATTCCAGGTGAGTGACTTCTACACTGCCTAATGTACCAGGTTCAAAAAACTATAGCTCATGACAGGAAACAAAATGGAGGGAAGATCAGAACCCATAGTAGAAGGGACAATGCCCCTCTTTTTTTTTTTTTTTTTTTTTTTTTTTTTTTTTTTTTTTTTTTTTTTTTTTTTTTTTTTTTTTTTTTTTTTTTTTNTTTTTTTTCTTTTTTTTTGGGACACAGTCTGGCTTTGCTGTCCAGAATGGAGGTGCAGTAGCATGATTCCGGCTCATTGCAGCCTCAACCTCCTGGACTCAACTGATCCTTCCACCTCAGTCTCCCAAGCAGCTGGGACTACAGGCATGCACCACCAAGCCCGGCCTCTCAAAGTGCTGGGATTACAGGTGTAAGCCACTGCATCTGACTCAAAAAGTCTTTATGACTCTTTCCTAAGAATATGTTAACCTTCACCTTCCCATTAACTTTCCTCTCTGCCTGCCTTTTATTCTACTCTCTCTAAAATTGGAATAGAAAATAAGGGAACAAAAGAGGAACAAGAAACAGAAGGGTACTCACCATCACTGCCAGCTGTCTATAGGCCTTCTTCAGTTCAACATCTGATGCTGTGGCCTCAACCCCCAGTACATGGAAAGGGTTTAGCTCATCCTCAGGAACCCCAGCCATGGTCAAGAGTCGAGCCACTTCCTCTTCAGGCTGACAGTAGCGCCCACTAGCTACAGATGCATTCCCTTGCCTGTTAGTACTCTGCTTGACCCAGGGCAACTCCAGCCAGCCCCACTGAACTGTTCTTACCAGCTGCTGCCATGGCCTGCTATCTCTCAGCAGAGTCAAGCAACGCTGCAAGGCTGGAGAATCCAGCCAAGAGAAGAGCCAGATGGCCTTATTCCTCCAGCCTAACCGATCACCTAGTCCCACCAGAAACCGCCAGCCCAACTGTAGAAAGCCCAAAAAGAGGGCCAGAGCCAGGAGCAGCAAAGCACCCAGCAGCCTAAGAAAACGGGTAAACAGACTTAAGCCACAGTAGAACCCCTGGCTTAGAAACTGAAACATGACCTGGGCCCAGCCCCCGAGCCGCCCTGTCCAGACTCCCACCCAAACTCGAAAAAGGTCCAAATCACTGCTTTTCAGCTGCCTGCATGCATAGATGAGATGGCCACAAGTTTCTACGTACTCTCCCACCAATACCAGGAATTCAATCAGCCACCAAAAGCCTGCCTGTCCAAGTTGACATAGTTCCTCTGCTCCCCACAATCCCAGGCCTCTGCGCTTCTCTGTCTGACTTCGTTTCCGGCCCAGCCGATGTCGACCAGGGGACCTGGGATCCCTACGTAGACCCTCCCGACTATCCTCCTTCGCTGGAAAGCGGTGTCGCTGTCTCCGGGGTGGAGGTTTCTTTCCGCTGGACACATGTGAAAAATAATTGGGGAACTTAAGAGATTCCTCATCATCATATTCCTCTTCCAACTCTTCATCTTCCCCGAAGGATGGAGAGGTACATTGGTGGCAAAAGTTGCTAGAAGAGCCATCTTCTCCCTCAGAGTAAGGCCCTTCTGGAATTCCAGGGGTTCCCTGGCAGTTGCAAGCAGATGGAATGGAAAGAAAAGAAGGGTTCCCATCCTCCTGGTACACAGCCTCGTTTTCTTTTGAGAGTTCCTGGTCCACTCCTGACTCTTCTTCTGAAGATGCCTCACTCTGATCAGGGTCTTCTGCCTCTCTAGGTGGTCCTGGACCCCTTGGGGGGCCATGGCTTGGGTCCGACCAGTGGGCTGGGTTTGGGTGCTGTGTGTACTTAGGACCAGAGTGCTCTGTGAGGCAGTGGGTACCATTAGGAGCAGTCCCTGCGTAGTCCCTGAGTCCTGAGAATGAAGGTATTTCAGGGTCCACGGAGGGTCCTAAAGTCCTGAGGGAGGCACCACTATTGTGGTGGGCTCTGCACAACCCTCTTTCTCCGGGGTGCTTCTGGGCCATGACCCCGGGGCTTCCTGAGGGTCTTAGGTCACGGCCATCTTGGTGTGTTCTGATGCCTGTAACAGATACCAAGGTGGGGACGGTCAAGGATGGGACCAAGAGAGGAATGAAACAATCTTAAATAGTGGACATATTGAATACATCCACCGCCCTTGTTTTCCCAAGTTCTTTTGGGGCATTTGCTATTCTTAGCAATAAGCCAAAACTAGACTCACTAAAACCCTGCTTGCTGCTTGCTCCCTCCCCTCCTCCAAATCACTTAAGTTTTTCTTCTTTCCCCAGAAAACTATAATCTTCAAGAGGGAGGTACCATAAAGGGTGTGGTCGGGGGAGGAGAGGGTCCCTCTTAGGAAAAAGGGAAAGACGGCCGGCCAGAAAGGGGGGCAACAGACAGCTGTTAAAGGGTGGGGACCGTGCGGCCCAAGAGGAAAACCTGGGGACAGAGCTTAGGACTGTCCCTAAGAAAGACTACCAGGGAACCCACCAGCTGCGTATAAGGGAAGAAGTGGGCGGGCGCGGTGGCTCACGCCTGTAATCCCAGCACTTTGGGAGGCTGAGGCGGGCGGACCACGAGGTCA